AAGTAGCAACAAACCAGACATATTTTTTTCTTCTAATTCATGCATTATATCATATACTAATTTTGTATTTTCTCCAATAAATCTATTCCTCATAAAGCCTTTCTGTGTATCATTTATAATTGAAGGCAGTACTGTTTTAAACCGGTTTGCTATAGCAGAAGAAGCAATTTTATAGTCAGTATTAAGTAAAGTTAAAGGTCTCCAGTTTTTTATAAATCTTCTGTCTTTGGATTCTTTTGGAATACATGTTATAATTCCCTGGTTTTGAAATTCTGATAATGAGCCATGAGTATATGCATAATTTATAGATTTATATACAAAATATTTCAAATCTTTCCAAAAAAATTTGTAAAACTCACTGGTAAACCCATCCGATCCCGGACTTTTTCCATTTTTCATATTAGCTAGTGCTTTACTACATTCACCAATTGTAATTAGACCTTCACAACTTTCCTTTTCTACCTGTTGTAAATATTTCCCATGATTAAATAGAGGTGAATCATTATTGCATGCCATTTTACTTGTATAAAGATTTCTAAAAAACTGTTTTTCTTCTTCAAGTATTTCTGTTGTATCTGTAATATGTTTTCCATTTTCATTTATCAATTCAGTTATAGTTTTATTCAAATAGTTTTGTTTTTCAAGATTACAAAAAAAATCTGAACCTTTTTCCCCTTTCTCATACCATGTAACCTTTGATCTAATAATGATTCCTTCAGTCTTTTCCTTCCTTATATCTGATAAAGCCCTGTTTTCCTTTTCTAATGCTTCGTATAACTGATTAGTAGGTTGACTGTTCATTAATTTCTCAATGTTTTGTATTTTTTCAGAGATCATCCTTTCTTTCTTTTTCTTTTCTTTTGAAATTTGAATTGAGTATTCTATTGTTAGACTTCTAATCTTCATTTTGATTATTTCAAACATCATTTGGTCATTTACCCTTAAATTTATGTTCTCTAATGCATCTAAATCCCCCTCTATCAGGTACTCTTCTATTGTGTCCCTAATGCATTGGTTTGCTAAATCTACCCAATTCTGATCATTTAATAATTTTGAGTTAAATTTCCAATACCCCTTTCCTCTCATATTTTCTTTATTAATGCAAGCTAGTGATATACAGGAATGGTCAGTCTTATAACCGGGTGTGATACTAGAGTTTGTAACAATGTTAAGTAAATCTTGTGAAACTAAGAAGTAATCTAACCGACTTTGTTTAATTGGGTTTTTCCTTCGCCATGTGTACATTTTTTTTTCAGGATTTTGGATTCTCCAAACATCAAATAATTCAAATTCTTCCATACTCTTATCAATAAGTTCTCTGGCTAGTCTATGACTCTCATGCATAATATTATGTGTATCTTTTCCCATATCCTGTACCAAATTCCAGTCACCTCCCATTATTATTTTAGTATTTGAAATCAATCTGATTCTTCTATATATAATTTCAAAGAAATTTGGCTTATCATCATTCGGCCCATATAAATTTATTAATGTTACCCTGGTTCCATTAAGTGAAACATCTAATATAATGTATCTTCCCTCTGAGTCTATAATTTTACTATGTATCTCAATATCTGCTTCATATCCAAAAAAAATTGCTACTCCTGCACTTGATGTACTTCCATGACTAAAAATACCTTTACCACCCCATTCATCTTCCCACTGGGTTTCAATTTCTTCACAACTATGCGTTTCCTGCAAAAACACAACTGATTTTTTCTTCGCTTTTATCCAATTAAACAGATCAACTCTTTTTCTTTTACATGAATATAACCCCCTGACATTCAAAGACAATATCTCAAAATTAGCCATGATCACAATTAGAGACCTTCTAAAAAAAAAGGTTGTACACTAAACATTCCTCCATTCAAAGGTGTTGCAGCACAGTTTTCCACAGCTGAGGTTTTCGAAACACAAGAAATAGCAAGATTGCGTATACATGTTGAAAGATCTATTGGACGTGTGAAAAAATTTCAGATTTTTGATGGTGTTCTGCCACTTTCATTAGCACCACAGGCATTCAAAATCTTTTAAGTAGCTTGTTGGTTAACCAATTTTGACGTACCTTTAATATCATGACAATATTCAAAATACCTGGAGACTTCTAGAACATTATATTTTGTTACCATTAAAATGAGTGTTTGAAATTTTCTATATTGACTTGTGTGTCAATACTTGAAATTTTGTGAGCCTCTGGTTTCACTCCTGGTTTAATGAGGTTTTTTTATGTATGAATTGATGCATTTGTGTTTGCTCTGGTTGTTGTCTTGTGTGCCAATAGTTTGCTTTCGAACACGACACCCCCTATATGAGCAGATGAAAGAAATTGTCCCCCC